ATTTGTCAGATGATTGGAAGCAGTATTGAACTTACCGTACATTAGCTGGAGGCCCCTCTTGCATGCAGCATGAATGGGAATATAATGTGTTTACTAGCGATGGCTGGTGTCTACTTTTCCTTAGTGTTTGGAAACAGGACCTGGCTCCCTTTCGAGAGGGCATCTCCAAGGAGCTGCTGTCGAGTGTGGTTAGCCGAAAGCTTGGGACACACTACCAGATCATTGATAACAAGTTATACCGGGAGCATGATTGCATGTTCCCTGCAAGGTGAGAGCAATGCATAAAATCCATTTGCCCAAAAGAGACACAAAAATACCAGCTGAATTTGTGTTCTACTGGTTAGAGCATCTGAGCAGGATGATCTGAAGACCATATTAGAGAGAGAGTCTGATGAAAGTGTGAAATGGATTGACTTCTAAGTTCTGCAGTTAGTCTGACAAAAGGTTAAAACTGCACTTGATCATGCAAGGGGCTAGAAGGGGTTACAGCCCCAAACTGGTTGGTGTTCAAGATTGGTCCTGACAAGAATGCAAATTTTCCCCTGCAACCAAAGTTGGATTAGGAGTTGGAGGGCTACTGACTGTACTTTGCATTATGGTGTGGAAGGGTAATTGAGGGTAATGTCTTGCATATAGAAGCTGTTACTCTGTTGACCAGTATTTCATCCAGTTCCCCTTTATTTGAACCCTCTAACATAGTGACACATTGTTTCAGCTGGAGACATTTGGATGCAGTCTCTTTGGAACTTATAAGTATTGCTTCTTGATTGGTTGGTAGGATCTACTGAAAGGCAAGGGGGATAAAAGTTATGCTTTAAAGAAAAAAAAATTCATATGTTTTTTGTTTTAAATTTTAAAAGAACATGATTTAAATAATCTCTTGTTGGCAAGTGGGTAATTCTGTACTTTTCCCCTCTTTAACAGTCTTTAATCATTGAAGTTTGGTTTGGTTTGGGTTTGGTTTGTTAATGTACTGGAAGACAAAATATTTTTTATTGCCACCCCTGAGCCATTTTATTTTGAAATGATCAAGATTTTATGACAGTATCAGACAGGTTTTGCCAAAATTACATTTTTAGCCCCTGATGTTGGAAATTTTACACTCTTGCTTAACTTTAAGCATTGAGCAGTTAAAGTCAATAAGACTATTCATGTGAGTAAAGTCTCGTACCTGATTAATAAAGTGTTTGCATGATCAGGCTTAATTTTCAATAGTTTGTTTTTTGCCTTCAGCTGTTTGCAAAATTAAGATAAGATACTTGAATAGAAATTGTGCGTAAAAAGGCCAGCCTTCATAGTTTAGTTCATGATAAGTTTTTGTATAAAAATTGTGATGGAACCAATTTAAAATTGTTTTTAGAGTCTCAACTTGATTTGCATAAAAAGCTCTAAAAAAAAAACAGTCAAGCGATTAAAATGAGTGAATTCCTATGTATTCAGTTGCTTTCCCCTGCCCCAGCCTCAGGTTGGTTCCCTTTCTAGAAATCAAAGAAGTGTAAT